ATTCCGCCGGACTCGAGCATCGGAAGCTCGTTTGGCCCCAAACGGCGTCGCAAACTGAGGCAATCCCATCCAGAGACTCAACATCTCCCCAACCCGTCGTCACACCGCCTCATCGGCCCAACCTTTGGGCGCTTGGCTGCAACATCAACCAATTGGACAGTCTCCACGACTACCACCGAGACTCGTCTGGCTGGCACATCGGCTAAATTATCTTATTTTCGGTCTTTTGTCGGTGATCGGATCAACTCAACTGCCGGCACAGCGCCTGATCAGTCTAAGCAAGTGCTCACACGTGATTATACGGCTCATTGCGAGTTTGCACACACTCATTCACACAAACACACACACACACCTGCACACAAACCATGCACACTTAGTACACGTGTCCAGAGAGCAGACGGTTTAAGAAGTGAAGACGCAGCACATTCGGACCCAATGTCCTGTCCGATGGCCCATCTTCACTCGAGGGCTTGGTCAATCTCGACTGCGCATGACCTCTCATCTCTACGTTTGATCACAGACCTGACGGCTCAATCTCAAAATAGGCTGTCTAACGAGATAGATAGAAAGAGAGAGAGAAACACACACACACAGAAAGAGAGAGAGAGAGATGGTAGGATGAAATGAACAAATGAGAGCATGAGTTATGTCTCTAGCGGACGACTCAAAGTGGGCGGATTGCGAGATTTGGCTGCATGAATATGGAGGTATGGCGGTTGTTTTGGTCTGCCGCGTGAAACATGTTTTCACTCCCTTGTACAAACACATGCACATGTAGCTGCAGATACACACACACACACACACACACACACACACATGCACGTACACACATGGACTTTGGCAGTGCTGAAGGCTCTGGTGATACGGCTTTGATGACTGTTTGGGCCCCGAAACCCTGTCGTCAAAATGCGTCTGGACCCATTTGTCAAGGGGAGCGGGGCCAGACGGTATCGGCTCACATTTGCGTTCATGAGATGCGTGTTGCGATGGCGGCCAAATCCCTTGTCACTGAAACAAGGCATGGCTTCTG